AGGGGGGGGGGGAGCTGACATAGTAATGTCCTCCTTGAAAACCTATATTTCTGCACACATTGTCCATGGTCAATTTCGATATGTTTGCTTGGATTCTAGTGCATTTGTCAAAGGTCATCAAACAGAGATGGAAATTATCAACAGTTGACAAGTGGATATATTAGTTGCTTGAGAATGAAAACAGAATAATAATAATGAAGATGATAGTAATAATGATAAGAATACCCATACCAACGCACTTCATTCAATAACGCTGGCTTTGCTCAAATGGCTGGATGCTAGGCTAAGAATATCTGTCGCTTTTCTCGAATTCCATGTGTGCAACCGAGGACAAGTAGGAAAGCTATCAACCACAATAGTCCGGCTGAAATTCTATGTGGATATGTTTTGCAGTTTTTATGCTACCACTTCACTGCATGTGTGCACGCAGTTTCCGTCCTATTAAGCAGCTTCATTTACCGAAAACATGTATTTCCATGACACAGTGACAAACAATTCTCAACTCAATAAGACGTATATATTGATTTAATATAACTCTTAAAATTAACACAAGGAGACGTACTATTCACACTGATTTTGGTGCTGTCCATTTCCACAATAAGGTTTGTATTAACGCTGTGGCGGCAGACTATAAATGAAACGTATTTTCTAATTCTGAGTTGATTGTTACCGTTATCAACAACTGGCCGGCCGTTTGTCTCACATTAGCTCAAATTCAGTTTAATTAACGCATAACCTATCCTATTTGGTGATATTTTTGATAAATGTACATTAACTAATTTCCTGGGGTAGACATGCGGAACTACCGCGTTCGTGTGCATAAGTTCGCTATGCCATCCAGCCAATACCTCAAATCATACGTGGGTGCAAATTTACCTCGCCAGGATAACACACTTTATGAGACAGTACAGTTGGCCCCCGAAGTCCCGTGGGCAAACAGACTTCTATACCAATCGTGTGTATAGGTCTTGTTTCAGTCAACACTCCGGGAGATAGATTGTCACAGGGGCTGTCATGAGGCTTTGCACTATTTTGTTTCACCCCCTTGTCCATGTACAGATGTAAGAATATTTTGATAATCAAGTAGAAAAATTGCTACACACACGTGCGCAAACATATGCACACACACGAGATTGTATAATCCGATGGCTGCAAATGGTTCAAATGACCAAAAGGCCGCCTGATCAACCAACCAACAAACGTTGTGCCCGACTAAAAGACCAGTTAGAAATGGGACATTGGGTATGACCTTGGCCATATGGCCGCACTAACGCACGTCCTTAAAGCAATCAGTCCTCACCGCTTGTATTCGGTTAGCACCTCGACCTTGCGGAAATCGTTTAAGTGGGTGTTATCACAGGGAGGGGATTGTGTTCTCCACCAATTACTTCACAAACTGTCTTCCTTTCACCTACTGGGGATCTGGTTGTGTAATCGACCTCTTCATCTATACGGGGGTTGGGAAGACGCACGCACTGCCACGCATCTAACCGCAGGACGGTACATACACACGACCGGGCAGACAGGCACGAGATCCTGCATAGCTGGCTTTCAAGCCCATTCGGCGCTTACACGCGCTTTCTCCCCGAAGTGCACGCGTACGCGTAAAGACTGAATAGACTGATTGTCCGTCTAAACCAGCATCATTCAGTTCACATTGGAGCTTTCGTGAAGAACGGTGAAGACCGCTTCAGCTTGTTTCGCTTCGAGTGTGTTTTATCCCTATTGTGACAACCTGTAAATCAAGAAAAATGGCAACGCAAGACGGTGGCGTTATGTATCAAAACTACGGACAACCGACCGATCAACCTGCTGCCTCGACAAAAGTGATGAACCTATCTCGGGCGCAAATTAATCTAGGTCAGCCGGGAGCTCAGCAACCAGGAGCTGCAATGTCTCAACAAACTTTTTATGCCCAACCAGCTCAGCAAGTCAACTATCCAACAACTTATTCATCACAACCACAACCCCAAGCAGCACAACCACAAGCTTATACCGTCGTACAGCGTGCTGCACCGGCTCAACCACAGGTTTTTACCGTTGGGTCGGCTCAACCAATTTCGGGGCAATCGCAACAGTATCGTGTGGTTAATCAAACTACCCCAGGACAGGAGGCAGGACGTACGGTGATGTACACACAACAATCTCCCGGGCAGGTAAATTACCCTTCACCTCAGTCGAGTGTAATCTATGGTGGATCATCACCTCAACAGCAAGCGTTTCAAGCCTATCCAGCCCAGCCACAAGCGCAACAAGCACAAAAATACTACGCCCAACCTGCGGCAGCCTATCCAGCCGGAGCTCCCACCCAGACATCCCAATTCGGACAACCAGGTAACGTGGTCATGGCGGCATTCCCGGCCTCGGCAGGCCAACCGTCACCGGGTGTCGGTGGCAGTCAGCCAATCAGCGTTCAGACTAGTCAACAAACTTGGGCACAGCCAACATTCGGACAACAACAACCGCCCAGACAGTATACTGGTTCGGCCCCACAACCCTTGATGACGGGGGTGCCACCGCCGCCACCGCCTACGCAGTCATTCTCGCCTGCCTCGGGTGTACGCGCTCAACAGCCAGTACAGGCTTATTCGGTCTCGGCCTACCCACAGCAGCAACAGCAACAGCCAAATCAATATCAAACACAACAACAACAGCAGCAACCGGTTCAATATCGTGCGGTGACACAAGACACGGCCGGCGTTCGAACTGCACAACCATTTGGTGCGGGGCAACAAGTTGTCCATCCATCACAAGCGCAGCCAACACAAGCTTATCAACACTACCAACAATCACAACAGGCACATCAACAATACCAGCCGGCTCAAGCTTCTTATACACCTGACTATCAAGCTCGTCCACCGGTACCTCACACAGCCGATAGCCAGCAAGTACGTCGACGAATTCCATCTACTGGAGGAGGAGGCCTTCAAAGGACCATCAAGGTCAGATCACTGGTAAGTTACTTGACCGAAACAGCCCCATGCATTTATGATATTCACGAGTGTCTACTACACATAACTATTGATGTCATTGATGCAAGGTCACCTTGAATTTTACTTTGACAAATTCGCAAACAACACACGCAACGTGACATATCCTGATTGTACTTTAATTACAAAAGGACTTATATTGAAAGGAACAAGAACATAGCGGAACGCAGAAATACATCGGGCAGTAGTAGTAATAGTAGTGAACTAGCTTAAGCAAACCTGTAGAAAGAAATTCTTCATATTCAGATCAATAAATAAATAAATCTGATACTCACAATCAATAGAAGTGTATACGGTTATCGCTAAAAGGAAAGGTACAGTTCCTAAGGAAGATTACTGCACTCATTTTCAGTATGCTGTTTTCATCTGTGTGTTTTTCACACGGTAACATGGTATCATATACGGCTGACATTTTTGTTAGCCTGCCTTGGCTTTAAGTTCTTTGCCCTGTGTCACTTCTTCACCAGCGACTGCTTCATTCCTTTACAGATTTCTATTGCAAGAAAAATTCTTTGATTAACTGACAGAAACTTTACTGACCCCGAAATATCCGTAATTTGTATGTAAGATTGGGTTCTAATGGGATTTTTTCTTGATCAATCCAAAAATGAATCATTGGTAAATTTTGATGTTCTGTTAGATGCAACTAACCGCAACAGATGACACTTGAAGGTCTTTTGTAGAATACATATACAAGATATCCAATATTACTGTTATATATACAGATATTAATTAGTGTAATACCAATACTAATACTACTAATACATATGGAGCTGCACTGTGTATTAGGTAAATTATGACTGGATAATTTGCAGTGGTTTCTCAAATAATATATGAACGAAATAAGGGTTCAAATGAAACTTGCTTCTGTGACTCGGAAATCTGTAAGTTGGCGTGCGTTAGTTCCGCAGAAACAAATAAATGGAAAATATGGGATGAAAACAATACTACAACTTTTATTGAGTACTGGAGTTTGGAGATGGAGTTAAAGGAACCAGTTGATCTGCCCAATATGCAGTCTCATATATGCACCCAGCATGGTCTTGGATATGTAAAAGTCGGACGGGTCACGGTAATGTGATGTAAAGAGCTGTTTTCAGGCGGTAATATTACAGTCCACTGAGGCAGAAATATCATGCTGATCTGCAATACTAATTTGCTGTTTCTTAGCTGCGTTCAGTCCCAGTGTGTTCAGAGCAATGTGCTAGGTTCCACTGATGAACTTTTCGCAATAGCCTTAAAGAATGCCTTCGGGGGTTAACCTAGGGACACTATTTGAAAATTCATCAGGGATTTTCGGCATGTATTATTATTGCAAACATAAAACGCATTTTTTAAAAGAACTTGCGCAAATTATCATTGCTGTTAGTGTTTTTATCAAGAAAGTGATTCGCAACACAACCCAGTAAGTGCAAATGTTGAACGAAAACAGTTTTCTCATTATGGAACGCTTTTCGTTGGTTAATTATAGATTGAAATCCATCGTTGGTCAGTTATATGAAATTCCAATAAGGGTATAGTTATTTGAAACAATACGCAGTGTTGTATGGTGGAAATTCTGCTAGATTGAATGAAACCAGCGGGTTTTCGTATAACAATTTTTTCCTGCGATCAACCTTCATGGTAATCAGCACACAAATAAATGGTTGGTTTATGACAAGTATTTTGGGAAAGTGTACTGTCACTAATGTAGTGAAGGAGTTAAAAAATAAGAATTCAGTTATTTTCGACAGTATGGATCAAACTTCTTTTGTTTATGACTATCGAACCACGTTACTACTAGGCTTCCCTTAGGAAGAATGTCACGCAGCAAAAAAAGTTTGTATAACTATACATATCCGAATTGAATTTCTACAAAAATCCTTTATTAGGAGACCAAAAAGTGGCATATCGTTGTCTTAAATTGGTGCCTTGTATAATCATCATCTTTGTCGGATTTTCATCAGAGGGGTAACCGTCTTGTTATCTTTCTCCTGAATTAACGTTTATCGTACTCAAGTCGTAAAATCGGCGATCGCAAGTTAATGAGTGCAGGTTTCATCAGGACCTCCTGGTCAGGGGAGTGCAGGAGACTGATGAAGCATGCATGTATCTAAGTGGGAATGTACTAGTCTGGAGCGAAACAGTGTGTTACAGTTGTCGCCTGGTGCCTTTGAGCGAGTGTCACTGGGGTCGAGCACTAGTGTTTTCTTTACCTGGCTGAAAACGATAACAAAGGGAATCGGTTCCAATAATATGGACTGTTCAAAATGAGAGATGTGCTTCCATTTTAATTTTGTCATAAAGCAGAAACTTTCATAATAGTGTGTCGTCTGTCGGTTTCCTTCGGGGGTAGAGGGGTGGGGTGGGGTGGTAGGAACAGAATAGCTTGTTTCTCTTAAATACCATGACCGACTTGAGACATTTCACTAAACAATTCAATAAATTAATATGGGATAGAGATATTTAATTTATTTGTCATCTTCAGGAGACTGAAGGGAAAATTTCTATTCCTGACGCCATATGCACTCATAGGATTGGGAAAATTGAAAGCAGAGTCCGGCACACGAAAGACGTACNAATTCAGCGAAGGTGAAAATAATTATAAGTGTAAGGAAAAGTACGTTTCATTCGGATGTGACAAAGTATGATTGTGCGTATGTGCTTGCGTGCGTGCATCTGTGCGCGTCGATGCACGGATCTTCAAAAATTGTCGATTGCTTGAGGTGAATTGGAAAGTCATGAATGGGGTATACTCTGATTGTCGAATGTCAGCTTGACAACGTGGGTACAGTGCCGTCTGGTATCCCACGGAATATGGAATACGTCTCTGTATTCGAACAAGCCTGTGCTTCTGTATGTGTTTGCATTACTTTTTCCCATGTATAGTGCATTGTGTGAATTTCAATCCTAGATCTAGAACCAATAATGTTACTCGACTGACCCGATAACCATGCCCTCACATATTTTGTTGTACGCGTTTCCGTCCAGGAATTCGATGAACCCGATAGAATGAAGAGAAGGACTGGCGAATTCCGAATGCGCTTTGCAATTGATAAACTGTAACATTTATCAATCTGGTGTAGATGTCTCAAGTGGAT